CAAAGACCCAATCAAACAATAGGAATCTGATATGAATACATACTTCTTAGATGAAGAAATACAAATGGCAAATTAATATATGAAAAAAAATGTTCCACATCACTGGTCATTTGAGAGATGCAAATTATAACAACACTAAAACTTTATCACCCCCCAGAAAGAATGGCTACTATGAAGAAATTAACCAATAACAAATGCTAGAGGGGCTCTGGAGAAAAAAGAAACCTCCATTGTTGGTGGGAGTGTAGACTGGTACAACCATTGTGGAAATCAGTATGGAGACTCCTCAAAACTAGGATTGGAGGTCCCATTCGGTCCAGCTATTCTCTCTCTGGGTATCTTCACAGAAGAATTAAAAACATCGTACCATAGCGATATATGTGCATCATATTTATAGCTGCACAATTTATAATAGCTAAATCTTGGAGACAACCCAGATACCCAACAAATGAGGAATGGATCAAAAAGATATAGTATTTTTATACAATGAAGCACTAATTACCCACAAAGAAAGATAAACTTGAGATTTTTATAGGTAAATGGCAGCAACTCGAGGCCATACTCATTAGTAATGACTCACACATGTAAACATATTGTCTCCCTCATGTGAGAAACTGAAAGAGTAAATAGAAGCCTAAAAGGCACAATAAACATTGTGAAATGGAAAGAAATTGTTTAAAAGGAAAAAGGACCAAGGATGGGTGAAAGGGAAAAGGACAGTAACGAAAAGGGAAAAAATGCAAGTCAGTCATACTATTAGTATCTCTTAGGTCATTAAAAAAGAAAGTTTGTAATAATATCAATTGGAGAAATGTTTAATACTGATATTTTGTACCCTGAACAACTCCTTTAAAAATAACATGTCATGTATGAACTATTGTTATGAAATTTTGCTTTACCTTTTTTTCCTATACAAATGGTTAAAATTTTATCATTCTCATTATAGCTCAAAGCGCAGAAATATTTAAATTTTTTTTTCTGTATTTAGGACAGGGTCTACAGGGTCTCACCACGTAGCTCAGACTTGTAGTGATCCTCCTGTTTTTTATTTATTTATTTATTTTATTTTATTTACTTACCCCATCTCTTTGGGGCTGTTCTTACCTTTCTTGAAGCTTGGGAACTCTGAAGAAAGACAGCTTGGGCAATCACAGGGCTCACCTCATTCACTTTTGGTCTCTCAGAGATCACTCTTCCTTTTTTTGCTTTGGTCTGAGACAGGGCCTTACTATGCAGTTCAGCGGGCCTTGAACTCACTTTATAGCCAGGCTGGCCTCCAACTCACTGTGATTCTCCTGCCTCAGCCTCCAGAGTGTTAGGATTACGAAAAGTGTGAGTCACCATGCCCGGTTTGGGATCTCTGTTCTTTATTGCCAGATGACCAATGTTTTCAAACTTTCATTCCATATATTTTGCCCATTGTTAAAATTTTGGCAGGATGATTAGATGGGCCCTGTTATTCCATCTTTATTAGAAGTATAATCTCAATTTTTAATGTCAAATCTTTTTTTTTCAAATCTGTTCTTGATGTTATAGAATCCAGGTAAAAATGGGACAAGAACATAACTAGTAGTTAGTATAATGCTGCTCATCATTCCATTTATCTCTCCATCCATCTGTCCATCCATCCAATAGCTCCTTTCATTCCACAGGTATTTATAGAATTCTACTGAGTCAGTACTAAAGATGAAAGCCTATTATTATAGGGCAGGTATGCCCCTTGCTCTTGTAGAACTTACAATCTGAGGGTCAGACAGCCAGTAATCAAATGATTATAAACAAAAAATGTGACATTATAAATGTCATATTTGCCTTGAATGAATAACACAACACTGCAATGAGAACCTACAAGAGGGTGATTTTGTGGTATTTGTTTATAGAGCCTACATTTATGAACTGCAAATATCATTACTATTTCTTCATATGAAAGTCACAAAGAAATTGTATTATTATGCAGTGAGTCTGAAGTACTCATTAACTTCTCAATAAATGATGCACCTAGTAATAGGTATGAGACAATATGCTAAGTGCTAAGGAGCACGTAAGAATTACGACACGATCCCTGTGAAAGCTGAAATCTGATTCAGTGCATAAAACACAAAGGAAGAGAAGTTATGAATCTACATCTGTATGAATATAAACAAAAATTTACAAGTTAAACAATATCATGTGGGGCCCAGCCCAATAGCTCAGCGGACTAAAGCACCTACTTAGGCGCAGGGACCAGGCTTGATTCCCAGTGTGCAGAGCTGGCCCCGTCCTGCAGGCACGCTGAGTCAGTGACTGAGAATGGGCACTGGGCGTGTTGGCTTGTACACCTGTAATCCCAGCACTTGGGAGGCTGAAAACAGAAGGATCATTACAAGTCCAATCTGTGTAGTGAGAACCTATAAAACCTGTCATAAAATACATATTAAAAAATCCAAAAACCAAAAAACAGTATCACGTGCATTCCTGTTAAATTTTTTTTTTTTTTCTTTAGCCTAATTGTAGAAATGGGATCAGTTCCATTGAGAAAACAATACATTTTTTTTCAAATGAAGTCTTACCTAGATATCTCAGCTTGGGAATTTTTTTCTCCATCAACAGTGAAAGGAGATGCTCCAGTTAGTAACTCGTACATTAGGACACCTAAACTCCACCAGTCAACTGCCTATAAAAAAACAATAATTTCATTCTGTAGTGTTATCAACTAGAATATATTTTATAAGAAAAACATAAAATAAAGCTAACTTAGAAAACATTTTAACACGTAGATTTTGTACACAGCTTTCTGTGCAAGACACTAATTTAGCACATGATACCCAGGTAGCCTCAGCACCAACAGGGTCTTAATCATGTCCTAAAGTAGTTATAGTTTTCTACCATGGTTAATCAAACATTTTTACCATGAAATATTTTTGTTTGTTTGTTTTTTGAGACAGGATCTTGCTTTGTAGTTCAGGCTGGCCTTGAACTCAGTAAGCAGCCCACGCTGACCTTGAACTTGTGGCAATCCTTCTTGCCTCGGCCTCCTGAGTGCTAGGATCACAGGCATGAGCCACCATGCCTGGCTTAAATTTCTATTAATTTAAGTTGGTGAAAATACTTGGATATAGGATAAGGGGAAAAGTATCAATCAGTATTTTTATTAAAACATTCAGGTCTAAAGACTCTTATGCAATTTCTTAATTAAAAAATTTAAAATCTCACCCAAGGTTATTGTTTTTATGATCTCCAAACTCAAATTTGCTTAGAGACAAAACAAAACAACCCCCCCCCAAAAAAAAACCCTGAAAATATTCACTGATGAATAGAAAATAAAATGTGCTTTAAGGTGAAAACCCAGGGCCAGGATGTAGCTCAGTGGCAGAGTGCCTGCCTGGCAACTGTGAGGTCCTAAGCTTGAATCTCGGTATAAAAAAAAAAAAAACAAAAAAGGAAATCCACTTATTAATGCAGTTGTTTGAACTGAGACTACCGTGAATTATCAGTGGCTTAAATAATTCTGATATATTGAAAAATCAGGCAAAACAGAATTTCAGTAACTGAAATGTAGGCACTCATACCAATGAGAAATACTAACTAGATAGTAAAAATTTAAATTATTAGCTTCCAAAGATTCAGAGTTAATTCAAAGTATGAACCTATGGGGCTGCGGAGATGGTTCAGTAGAATAAGCGCTTCCCTGGCAAGCGCAAGGGTATGAGTTCAAACTCCGGTTCCACAAAAAAAAAAAAAAAGTATGAACCTAGAACTATTTTAAAGAAAATACACAGCACTGAACATATAAACTAAGGTCTGGCAGATTCAAAGCAAGAGAAGGAAAGTTATTTACCAAATGCTTCCTTCATGCCAGACACTGTGATAGGTACTTTGCATTCATCACCTCATTTAATTAACTAAAGCTATCAGGTGTCCCATGTTAAAGAACACCAATTAGCTAGATCCTGTACCCTAGATATGTAGAAACTACTGGCTCAATTAAGTCTCATAAAATAATTGTAAAATTTTAACAGTTATAAATTCCTACTAAATTCTCCAACACACCTTCAAAGGGTACTATGAAACAAACTAAACCCACAAGTCCACTCTACTGCTATTCCTGCTTAGGGGCGCTACTGCAGGGAGCCAGAGTGCTCAGAAGGCAACGCGGCTGGCGTGAAGCCAGGCTCTTCCACTCATAACAGACCTAAAAGGCAGTCGTAGAAGCCTACGGTCATCAGGAAGGAGAACAAAGATTCTCCGCAGCCAGATACCTGAATGGCATATATCATCTTCTAGAAGGGGATGACAGAGAGGAGAAAATGAGGAACCAAAAGAAAAAGCCAGAATTTCTTATTTGGAGAAAGTTATTAATAATGGAAAAATGGTAACATTGAAGAAGTTTTCACTCTCTAATACAATAAGGAAAAATGATCTAGATTGTATAATATAATTACTTAGAAAGCTTTTTCTACAGCCTTCATTTTTCACATACAAAGGGGGGTGGAGAGGTCCCCAAAATAGAGTTTTTTGGAAATTTAAGAAAATAGACTGTTTCAAACACAGGATTTTTTTTCTTCTTCTAAGAGTTGTTAAATGTATTTCTGTTGGAGAGAGAACCAACAAAGCCATCAGTATCTCCATAAAGTTAAAAGCAGCAAGTAGGAACATGAAAATGAGTGATTCCCTTTCCAAAGATCTCTCAACAGCCTACTAGCGAGCAGCTATTAACTGAAGATGGTGCATATGATTATATTTCTGTGTGTTCTTCTACCAGAAATAAAAATGAGAATAAAGCACTGTCCAAAATCGTTCATCAAGACTCAGACAGGAACCATGCACACAGCTTATGCATTTGGTGACACCTCTGTATGGCAGTGATTCAGTTTCTACACTAAAAGAACAAGGTTCCATGCAACTGAAAAAGAATGACTTCTTAAAAACTGAAGTCATAGTTGGTGCTTTGCTTAAACTATGGGCTCTTTTAATGGAAATAAAACATTTCTGAAGAATTAACTATGAGGTTGAAACCTCAACTAGAGTGCTACTCTATAAAACAAAAATTCTCACCAATAAAACCTTAAAAAAAGGAATCTAGAATGTCTTAACTTTTATATTCTTTTTTTTTCTCCAAAGCTCTAGAACTCATAAATGTGTTTAGGCATATAAAATAAAGGAGAAACAAAGGTATGACAACATCAGAAAGACGGCTCTGTTGAAGACTGAACCTAATTATCAACTGGAATTCTTATTATATGTTGTATGGAAATAATACAAGTAAGTACCAAAATTAGAACATACCTTGTCATGTCCTGAATCTCCCCCTCTGACAATATCTGGTGCCATGTATTCAATAGTTCCACAAAAGGAATATGCTCTTTCAGTCTTGAACAAACAAACAAAAAGGGGATTTGATTTCAAGCTAGTATGACAAGTGTCCAAAGGAGAAAGTTAGTAATATAGGTCACTGGCTGAGATACAAAGCAGTGGTAGGAAGCTGCCTGATAGGACAAACTATCACCTACACAGTGGGAGTCCTGGGTAAATGTCTTCTCAGAATGATGTCTCATGCCTGGAGCGCTACCATCATCCATCCACCCATCTATCCATTCATGAGCCCATTTACTCATGTTTCTTCATTTTCTTGTTTGTCTTTTGGCATATACTTATTTCAGTTATTGCTTTCTATAACCAACTTTTTTTTTAGGAAGGCATACATCCCAAGAGGTTAACATGAATTGTCCAATATTTTAGTATCAGTGATTTTATTTCCAATTAGGCAAGATTGAGAAAACATTGGCAAAAATTGAAGGCGGAAGATCAAATGCTGAGGGAGACCAGGAAAATTTTTTTAAAAAGGAAAAATTTTCTCTCTAATGATTTTGCATAGGTTTGGCACTGGTAATGGTATATTTAAGTGATGATGAACAAACCTGTCTTTAAAATAACCAGACTTAGAGATAGTTGTTTCCTTTCACAGAACTTTAAAAATTGAAGAGGGCTAATTTAACATATTAGACATAAAAGTTAATTTTTAAAAGTTAACTGATTTTAAAATGACCAACTGACTCATCCTAATGCAACAAAGAATAAATATCTAAGTGGTTATACACACATGTTGAACAAGAAAAAAAGGATTCCTCTTGAGTAATATACATTCATATGGCTGTATCTGAAACTTTCCAGGGTATCCTGGTACCATTAAAATATTTCACAGGAGTATTTTTATAAAATGAATATTTCTTATAGAAAGCTTTTTAGTTTACATTTTATTCCTCTTCCATCAGCAAGATTTTAAGAAAATACCATTTCTTTTTATTACCATCTTTAACCACAAAGAATACTATTTTATCAATGTCACAGAAGTGGTAGAAATCCCATTTTACTGACTCAATAGCAAACAACACTGCAGAGATGACTGTAATACACTCTAACCACCACAACTTAAAACTATTAATTGAAATATATATACACTTATAAATAAAAAACAAAAGTAGTATGGTTTATGATTCATTTCCTTCCTTGTAACATTCTGTATACTCTGAAAGAGTATTATTGCCCCTAAAAACTAAAAGAAATAATTTGAATATTCACTTTGTACAAGAAATTTTCCTTTTGCTGGCTAGCAGAGTACAGCTATTGGACAGCTGACGTAAGTCATATACCACATGTCACTATTTCTCTGCTTTCTCCCATCATGACTAAATGCTAATGCTGTGGAAACTACTGAAAAGACTAAAGCTAAATAAAATTGATTTGAGTTCAGTTTGTGTACAAAAGGCAATGAGTCATTTTTATTATTTATTTATTTATTTATTTATTTATTTTTTTGCAGATCGAGGGATTGAACTCAGGCCCTTGCGCTTGCCAGGGAAGCGCTTATTCCACTGAGCCATCTCCCCAGCCCCTAATGAGTCATTTTTAAACACTGTATTGGATGTGATCAGGAAGAAAAAAATGTGCATCAGGAAGCATTCATCCATTCACTGAATTATTAAAAAAGAAATACTTCAAAAATAAATTTTCAAAACCTCTAAACTTCTTAAAATTAAGTGTTTTTAATAAACACATTACTGGACTGGGGAGATAGATCAGCAGTCGAAGCATCTGCCTGGCAAGTACAAGGACTCAGGTTCGATCCCCGGGTGCTACATGCCGTGCTGGCCCTTGAACCTCAGGAGCAGTGAACCAGCCACTGAAACCAGGCGTGGTAGTGCACCCCTGTAATCCCAGCACTGCGGAGGCTGAGACAGCAGGATCACTATGGGTCGGAGCTGCGTAGCAAGACCCTCTACCAAACAAAGAAATAAAGATTTTTTAAAATTAAAACAATAAATACATTATCACACAATAGCTATATTTTAGACATTAAGCAAAAATCATTGGATAGTGAAAATATAAAATTTACTTATCATTTGATGTCATCTTCTAAGATACCTTTAAGAAATTGTTTAAATATCCTATCTTGAATCAAGTCTTGGCTATAATACAAAAAAAAACCTCTTTAAACTATGAATAAAAAAATGATGAGTTCTAAGGTATTACTTTTCCAGATTTTTATTTTCAAAACTAATGCAAATATAAATTTTATTTAGGCTGCTTCAAGTCACATATTTTGAGATTATGCCAATTTCCTTCTCAGTATGAGACAATTAAAATTTCAAGTTAAAAGTCATGTTCGTGAATAAGTTTGGTTTTAAAGTACATGAAATATATGTACTATTTATTCTACCTAATTCATGATCCACCTAAATCATATTCTACCTAATTCATGATACAATGTTAAAATAACAATAGAAAATATTATCAGTAAGAACTTGTTGAATACAGCTAAAAGCTGTTTTTAGAAATTTATAGTTTTATTTTAAAAATATTAAACATCTAATGATGATCTAGGTGTCAAATTCCAAAGTTTAGAAAGTTATGAAAGAAGGTAAAAGGAATAAAGGAACTGGTCAAAGAAATGGAAAATTCATTCAAACACAGTTACAAAAGATTATTAAAATTGATAAAACTATTTACAAGGGAAGTCACAAATTGATGGTGACAGTTTAAAAGAAAACATTACTAGAGTTACCATAGAGATTTTATAAAATAAAAAAGTTCTATGATCAAAGTGATGTCAAAAACTTAGGAAAACTACATTCTATAAAAATACAGTATCCAAAATTGACTCGGAGAGAAACGTATACACACAGGAACAAGCATGCACACATATTATGCACATCTGGAAAAGGAAAATGCAAGAAGAAAAGAAAGGAAAAAAGAGGAATGGGAACGTCAGCCATAATGGCTAGTGAAGTACTATGTCCACCTCAGCCTCACAGGAACAGCATCTCTGTACTACATAAACTACGTAACTATGTATTTCAAATGCACTTTATGGTGCTATTAAACCTTGTCACCAGAATCTGACAAACACAATATTAAAAAATTATACATCAACTTAGATAATTAAAATATTAGCAAATGAAAACCAGCAATGTATAAAAAAATACGTTCTAAAACTTCGAAGATGGCCTAACATGCAAAAATAAAAAAGCTTACTAAGAACTAAGAATATAATTTATCAAAAATGATGAGTGAATAGTGTACATGCCTAAAACATACGTACTTTAATGTTAAAAAACTATACCTATGCATATACAGCTTAGTAAACAAAGCAATAAAATCTCATATTCTTCAGAAAAAAAGGTATGAGAATTGAACAGAAAGCCATCACTACTTAGAAATGGTGGCTCTGATTTTTCTTTCTTTTTTTTTTTTTTAAATTTTATTTATTAGAGAGAGAGAGAGAGAGAGAGAGAGAGAGAGAGAGAGAGAGGTGTGTGTGGCCAGCTCAGCCCACCAGGGGGCGGGGCTGGCTGGCATGTGGTACTGGGGGATCGAACCGCGGTCCCTGATGCTTTGCTAAGCTTGTTCTAAGTAGGTGCTTTAGACCACTGAGCCATCTCTCCAGCCCTGATTTTTCTTTTAATAAAGTTATTTACATAAAAAATCCAAGTGACTGTAAATTAATATAAGAATTATGTAATTCCTGACAGATATAAGATCAATAATGTTCTCATGTTTAGATAACAAGACACAAATATCTAATTAAAGATAATAATCATAACTGGAACAAAAATTATAATAAAGCTAATTAATTAATTAGTTAATTTTGGGGTAGCAGGAATCAAACTCACAACCCTGTGCTTGGCAGGCAGGTGCTGTGCCACTGAGCTATGTCCCCAGCCCTAATAGAGTAAATTTAATAACACATATATAAAAATTACAAGAAAAATATCATAAAATATTTTTGGAGGACATAAAGGGAAACTAAAGATATGAATATTCATTTATGAAAATTTATTAAAAATTCAATATCTAAAGACTATGGGTTTCCCCACATTAATTTATAAGTCTGATTCCACAATTCATGTGCAGATACAAAAAGCAAGACAAGAAAACAGTCAAAATAAAGGAGGAAAGTGAAGAAAAAGGAGAAGGCAGTAGGAGAAGGCTAAAGGGGGACAGGATATCACCTTTCCTGATTCAAGTCTTACTGTAAAGCTAGAAGCTTTAAGATAATTTTGGGTTTGATACAGGGAGAGGAAAAAAAAAAGACAAATGGAATTCAATGTATGGCCTAGAAACAGACTCATAAGCATGCATGGCTTGGCTACATGAGAGAAGTTGTATTTCCAATCAGAGACAGGATTCATTTAAGTGAGCAATTAAAAGGGAATTGGGTTACTGATACAGAAGAGCAAGATTCCCACCTGACTTTATGCACTAAGCATAGACTGACAAGTATGGAACTAAAAAACATGGGAGAAAGCTTCATGACATTGGATGTAGCAGTGATTTCTTGGATATGACACCAAATGCACAACAACAAAAGCCAAAACAAAAAGTAAGTGGTGCTACATTAAACTCAAAGACTTCTAGGAATTAGAAAAAAAAAGAAAAATGAACCTACAGAATGAGAGAAAATATTTATGAATCATATATTTTAAAAGGGGTTAAAGAACTTTTAAAAAATAACAAAAAGCCCCTGATTAAAACCATATTACAATGAGATACCAACTTACACCCATTAGGACAGCCACAGTGAGAAGACAACAAAAAAGCACAAGTGTTGGCTGGGTATGGAATGCCTGGAATCCTGTGCATTGTTGGTGGGAGATCAAATGGCGCAGCTGCTATGGAAAATAGCACGAATATTCCTCAAAAACTTAAAAATAGATTTACCACCTCACTTCTGGGATACAGCAATCTCACTTCTAGGTGTATTCTCAAAGCAGGACCTCAAAAAGGTATCTGTAGGACCAATACTTATCACAGCATTATTTCCAGTAGCCAAGAGGTGGAAGCAACCCAAATGTCTGTCAATGGATGAGCAA